TATATATGCATTCATACATGCATGTATATATGCATTCATACATGCATGTATATATGCATTCATACATGCATGTATATATGCATTCATACATGCATGTATATATGCATTCATACATGCATGTATATATGCATTCATACATGCATGTATATATGCATTCATACATGCATGTATATATGCATTCATACATGCATGTATATATGCATTCATACATGCATGTATATATGCATTCATACATGCGTGTATACACGCATTCATACATGCATGTATATATGCATTCATACATGCATGTATATATGCATTCATACATGCATGTATATATGCATTCATACATGCGTGTATATATGCATTCATACATGCATGTATATATGCATTCATACATGCATGTATATATGCATTCATACATGCATGTATATATGCATTCATACATGCATGTATATATGCATTCATACATGCATGTATATATGCATTCATACATGCATGTATATATGCATTCATACATGCATGTATATATGCATTCATACATGCATGTATATATGCATTCATACATGCATGTATATATGCATTCATACATGCATGTATATATGCATTCATACATGCATGTATATATGCATTCATACATGCATGTATACACGCATTCATACATGCATGTATATATGCATTCATACATGCATGTATATATGCATTCATACATGCATGTATATATGCATTCATACATGCATGTATATATGCATTCATACATGCATGTATATATGCATTCATACATGCATGTATATATGCATTCATACATGCATGTATATATGCATTCATACATGCATGTATATATGCATTCATACATGCATGTATATATGCATTCATACATGCATGTATACACGCATTCATACATGCGTGTATATATGCATTCATACATGCATGTATATATGCATTCATACATGCATGTATATATGCATTCATACATGCATGTATATATGCATTCATACATGCATGTATATATGCATTCATACATGCATGTATATATGCATTCATACATGCATGTATATATGCATTCATACATGCATGTATATATGCATTCATACATGCATGTATATATGCATTCATACATGCATGTATATATGCATTCATACATGCATGTATATATGCATTCATACATGCATGTATATATGCATTCATACATGCATGTATATATGCATTCATACATGCATGTATATATGCATTCATACATGCATGTATATATGCATTCATACATGCATGTATATATGCATTCATACATGCATGTATATATGCATTCATACATGCATGTATATATGCATTCATACATGCATGTATATATGCATTCATACATGCATGTATATACGCATTCATACATGCATGTATATATGCATTCATACATGCATGTATATATGCATTCATACATGCATGTATATATGCATTCATACATGCATGTATATATGCATTCATACATGCATGTATATATGCATTCATACATGCATGTATATATGCATTCATACATGCATGTATATATGCATTCATACATGCATGTATATATGCATTCATACATGCATGTATATATGCATTCATACATGCATGTATATATGCATTCATACATGCATGTATATATGCATTCATACATGCATGTATATATGCATTCATACATGCATGTATATATGCATTCATACATGCATGTATATATGCATTCATACATGCATGTATATATGCATTCATACATGCATGTATATATGCATTCATACATGCATGTATATATGCATTCATACATGCATGTATATATGCATTCATACATGCATGTATATATGCATTCATACATGCATGTATATATGCATTCATACATGCATGTATATATGCATTCATACATGCATGTATATATGCATTCATACATGCATGTATATATGCATTCATACATGCATGTATATATGCATTCATACATGCATGTATATATGCATTCATACATGCATGTATATATGCATTCATACATGCATGTATATATGCATTCATACATGCATGTATATATGCATTCATACATGCATGTATATATGCATTCATACATGCATGTATATATGCATTCATACATGCATGTATATATGCATTCATACATGCATGTATATATGCATTCATACATGCATGTATATATGCATTCATACATGCATGTATATATGCATTCATACATGCATGTATATATGCATTCATACATGCATGTATATATGCATTCATACATGCATGTATATATGCATTCATACATGCATGTATATATGCATTCATACATGCATGTATATATGCATTCATACATGCATGTATATATGCATTCATACATGCGTGTATATATGCATTCATACATGCATGTATATATGCATTCATACATGCATGTATATATGCATTCATACATGCATGTATATATGCATTCATACATGCATGTATATATGCATTCATACATGCATGTATATATGCATTCATACATGCATGTATATATGCATTCATACATGCATGTATATATGCATTCATACATGCATGTATATATGCATTCATACATGCATGTATATATGCATTCATACATGCATGTATATATGCATTCATACATGCATGTATATATGCATTCATACATGCATGTATATATGCATTCATACATGCATGTATATATGCATTCATACATGCATGTATACACGCATTCATACATGCATGTATATATGCATTCATACATGCATGTATATATGCATTCATACATGCATGTATATATGCATTCATACATGCATGTATATATGCATTCATACATGCATGTATATATGCATTCATACATGCATGTATATATGCATTCATACATGCATGTATATATGCATTCATACATGCATGTATATATGCATTCATACATGCATGTATATATGCATTCATACATGCATGTATATATGCATTCATACATGCATGTATATATGCATTCATACATGCATGTATATATGCATTCATACATGCATGTATATATGCATTCATACATGCATGTATATATGCATTCATACATGCATGTATATATGCATTCATACATGCATGTATATATGCATTCATACATGCATGTATATATGCATTCATACATGCATGTATATATGCATTCATACATGCATGTATATATGCATTCATACATGCATGTATATATGCATTCATACATGCATGTATATATGCATTCATACATGCATGTATATATGCATTCATACATGCATGTATATATGCATTCATACATGCATGTATATATGCATTCATACATGCATGTATATATGCATTCATACATGCATGTATATATGCATTCATACATGCATGTATATATGCATTCATACATGCATGTATATATGCATTCATACATGCATGTATATATGCATTCATACATGCATGTATATATGCATTCATACATGATGAATGATATCTCACTCCTTGAATGATCCGTAATCTAGAAAGAAATGAGAGACACAGCTGAAATATTGAAACCTCATCTTTGCGGAAGTAGTAGCAGAAGTAGGAGCAATTAGGGCCGGTAGGGTCAGTGGATGACCAAGTTCTTTGACACCGGACTGCGATATTGAGTCACCCATCATACAAGTTTGCAAGCATCTGTCCAGGTCATGTCCCTATGCCATAGAGACACTATTATACAATATAAGATAAGGAACCCAATAAAAGGGCTTGTATAGTGTAAATGCTGATGGCCTTCAGTTCGGCTGCAGTTTTCCAACAAGCATTTTCAGCTTGGTAATAATTACTGCTTGTCGATCCTTTCCTCCCTGTGAAATGATGCTCTCAGTAGATAGTTTGTGCTGCTCCTTTGACAATTTTGCAGCCAAGAGTCAACTGAGTGTGGGCATAGAGATTTTGACTGCAGAGACCTCTTTCGAGAGTTGTTAGTCTGCGGTAGATGTTGGTTTATTCTCTGATTGTATGATAATGCTGGGATGTGCATACTTCACTATTTATTTTCTGCCCAACATATGTCTTGGAAATATCAAGTAAATTCCAAGAGCTTCATTTGCAGTGATCATGGCTATGGAGTTGTGCATCTGGGCACACTGTTATGATTTGGCAATTGTCATAAGGAACTCTTGGCGACAGTGAAGGAGAAAAATCATGAGGAGACATCAAGTTCAGGATACGATGGCAGTGGAAGCTCTAGCTTATATTGTTACATTACACTGAGTGACATTGATAAACGTTGACATATAAACTGCATGAAGAGGGCACACTGAAAGCTCCTTATTGGTTATAAGGAACAAAGACCGAAAGGTTCATAAGGTGAACCAAGGTCGACTGACCAGAAACCAATGGACTGCTCTCATATTGGGCTAGGGAGCTCACTCCGAACAGGGCTAGGTTGTTGACCCTGCGTTTAAAGTACATGAGATATTTGTTTGGGCGACAGTGTCTGTGCAGGTAGTGTCATAGAGCAGTCATTAAGCTGCTTCAACAGAAATACTGCCATACTGTCTGATCTTTTGCAATCTCCTGTCAGGTGCAGTAGGTAACAGGATGAACAATATCCCGGCACTCTGGATTGTTCTCTTGAGGGCAGTGTGTCTGACCTTGAGGGACATGATTCCCAAGGGAGTTCATTTGACATTTTTGGATGGCATACAGGTGCACCAACCCTCTGAGCGATTGCAATATTAAGGATATCATTGTTGAAGTGTGTTCCCATAGAGGGTACAGGGATTGAACGCAACCATGCCCCTCTTTCAGGCTGAACAGAGGCTAAGAAATGAGCTCTAGATACTTGATCAGCTTTGTTCAGCATGTAGTTGAGGGAGGCTTTGGCTGATATGGTATGCGCCTTCTGTTTCAATCTATGGACAAGGAGCGGTTGCTTATCTACTCTATAATCCCTTAAAAATCTTGCAGTCCCTCCAAAATTGTCAAAAGACACTGTAGGCAAAGTCTGCGGTGATGGCATTTTGGGAGGATACGACAGCTGGAACAGCTATGCCTGCTGCCTTCTGAATCCCAAGACCCCCAAGTCTGACATGGACAATAGTTTGATACCAATTGTCAGCATCAAAATTGACACTGGATAATTCCACGACTGTGTAAAGTATTATCACCGAGTTGCAAGAGTTGGATATTTTTAAGAAAAGGCCATTTGCAGAATATGTCCTACACTTTTGGGATGATGAAGGAACTTTTGGAAAGAACCAGGGATGGATGAGTATCAACTGTTTTAAAATTAGTCATGCCCTGAAACTCTTCATGCCTTCTTTGCAGTGTTGGAATTGTCACTGTTGAAGTCAGAGGAGACTTTAGTAATTGATGATATATATTTGGCAGCAAAACCCATTGAGTATCTGCTGTTTGTGGTTAACGAGAATCAGTTTGTACTTTGCAACATTGATGGTTAACCTTAACTGGTGCAACTCAGCGATGATGTTATGTAGGTTAGTCAAAGTTCTCAACAGTGTTGTTACATCTTCCTAGGTACCATAAGTTGAGTTCTCAAGTCAGTAACCTGGAAGCCCTATCGACCCCAAGAGAAATAAAGAGCTGGACCTTAGGTTCCTTCTTAAATATTTGTCTCTATGTGAGAGTGACTAGTTTAGGTTTCGTATCGTAGAGAAATTATAAATGTTAGTTTCCAGATAGTGCGTTGCTTTAATTTTTAAGGCAAGTGTAGGATGTGAGTAATTGTATATGTCCTCTTTAGTCGGTTGTTGAAGGGCGCACCAAGCAGAATCAAAGTGGACGTATTCATATTCCGCTTCTGAATAACATTATTATGGGATGACGAAGCATCTGCTGACTTTATCCTTACCCCCTTTGTGATGCGGTATGAAATTAGCGGTGCTTTGCTTTGCGTACCACTCAGAAAAGCAGTGAGGGCACATCCATCTCGGTAGTTTGGTTGCCTGCCTCTTGGTTAATTTAACACATGTTAGGTCATCTCGTAGATTACATCACATTTCCTCACTGGTTTGTGTGTTTATTTCATGACATGTTAGGCATCTTTTAACCTCTCGTGCACTCAAACTCCTGCAAGGTCAATGGTAAAAAAATAGACGATTATCCTGCGCACTTTCCATATTAAAAAAAATGAATATGATGGAAACGTAAAAAAGGTTAAACGTTTGTCAAATTAAAGCCTTTCAGGCGTTTATTATTGTTATTGTTATTGTTATTGTTATTATTGTTATTATTGTTATTATTGTTATTATTGTTTTCCTATTAAAATGTTTATAAAATGATTATGAACTGTATTCGTGGAATTCTAATAGCTCATACGTTAAAAATCTGTCACTATAGTCTCTTCTTGCGACAAAATATTTCCAAAGACGAATACTATGCACTTAACACCTACCATCTTTAATGGAAAGAATAAACTAAAACTAAACACACGCATACATAAAAACGAATCTATTATTAAGCACTGACAGCCAAAATAATCAAGATCACGAATGTTTTTTTTTTCCCCGAACTAATCAAAGAAAACCCTCTCGACCTGTAGATACGCGGCCGAGCTCCACCTGGTCCACTTCAAGAAGGACTACGGCACTTTGGCAAAGGCCCTCAAGCACAAGGATGGCGTGGTGGTGCTTGGGGTGATGGTCGAGGCCGACGACAATGACAATGAGCGCCTCCAGCCCTTCGTGGACGCACTCGAGGAGGTCGTCGAGTTGGGTAAGAGTGCTCGAGTTTTCTTTGTTCCTCGACTAGGATGACTGTTGCTTCTCTAACAGCTGTAACGTGGTATGCTGCCTTAGCGATGGTGAAAATGATTTAGCAATGCAGAGAATTGGGACCATTGATATCTATATAGCCTTTGAAAAAAGTTACGTCTTTAAGACTATATGTTCTATAGTACATTCCTTTTTTAATTTCTTTTATTGACTTCTTATTAATGGTTACATACAAAGTAAGGGCTTTCAAAAGCTTTCCCAAGCCCGTAGGGAAACGCAAGTAGGCGTCCATGCACTGTGCTAATTGTATCTATTGAATGAAGACGCTGCAGCGATAGCCAGCATAGCAGCATTCTGAAGAGAATTAATGTATATGAATTAACGTCCTAGCTGCATTATAGATGGTGTAGTAAATCAGGTTCAACTCTCCTGATTCAATTATTGAATTAGATAAACAATTTAAGCTGGATAAGTAGATACACAAATAAATGAGATAAATGAAATGGATGAAAATAATTTGAACTGATTTCAGCATCCCCGTAGAATTTAGCTGACCTCTCCTCTTCTCAGGAACCGAATTCCACCCGGACTACAACATACCCCTCGATGCCCTCTTGCCCGAGGAGGAGGACAGGCACCTCTTCTTCCGCTACCAGGGCTCTCTGACCACGCCCCTTTGCAACGAGGTGGTGACGTGGACCCTCTTTCAGACGCCCATCGCCCTTTCGAGCAATCAGGTGTTTTTTTTTCGTTTCAATACAGCTGTTGTGGCAAAGAGTTTCTCTACGGCAGGTTCAGACAACGACGCCGAACCAGAAAGGGATCATGCTATTATAGGCATGTATACATACATACATATATATGTACATGTATATGTATATGTATACATACACATACATATATATGTATATGTATATGTATACATACACATACATATATATGTATATGTATACATACACATACATATGTATGTATATGTGTATATGTATATATGTGTATATGTATATATGTGTATATGTATATATGTGTATATGTATATATGTGTATATGTATATATGTGTATATGTATATATGTGTATATGTATATATGTGTATATGTATATATGTGTATATGTGTATATGTGTATATGTGTATATGTATATATGTGTAAATGTATATATGTGTATATGTATATATGTGTATATGTATATATGTGTATATGTATATATGTGTATATGTATATATGTGTATATGTATATATGTGTATATGTATATATGTGTATATGTATATATGTGTATATGTATATATGTGTATATGTATATATGTGTATATGTATATATGTGTATATGTATATATGTGTATATGTATATATGTGTATATGTATATATGTGTATATGTATATATGTGTATATGTATATATGTGTATATGTATATATGTGTATATGTATATATGTGTATATGTATATATGTGTATATGTATATATGTGTATATGTGTATATGTGTATATGTGTATATGTGTATATGTGTATATGTGTATATGTGTATATGTGTATATGTGTATATGTGTATATGTGTATATGTGTATATGTGTATATGTGTATATGTGTATATGTGTATATGTATATATGTGTATATGTATATATGTGTATATGTATATATGTGTATATGTATATATGTGTATATGTATATATGTGTATATGTATATATGTGTATATGTATATATGTGTATATGTATATATGTGTATATGTATATATGTGTATATGTATATATGTGTATATGTATATATGTGTATATGTATATATGTGTATATGTATATATGTGTATATGTATATATGTGTATATGTATATATGTGTATATGTATATATGTGTATATGTATATATGTGTATATGTATATATGTGTATATGTATATATGTGTATATGTATATATGTGTATATGTATATATGTGTATATGTATATATGTGTATATGTATATATGTGTATATGTATATATGTGTATATGTATATATGTGTATATGTGTATATGTGTATATGTGTATATGTGTATATGTGTATATGTGTATATGTGTATATGTGTATATGTGTATATGTGTATATGTGTATATGTGTATATGTGTATATGTGTATATGTGTATATGTGTATATGTATATATGTATATATGTATATATGTATATATGTATATATGTATATATGTATATATGTATATATGTATATATGTGTATATGTATATATGTATATATGTATATATGTATATATGTATATATGTATATATGTATATATGTATATATGTATATGTGTATATGTGTATATGTGTATATGTGTATATGTGTATATGTGTATATATGTATATGTGTATATGTGTATATGTGTATATGTGTATATGTGTATATGTGTATATGTGTATATGTGTATATGTGTATATGTGTATATGTGTATATGTGTATATGTGTATATGTGTATATGTGTATATGTGTATATGTGTATATGTGTATATGTGTATATGTGCATATGTGCATATGTGCATATGTGCATATGTGCATACGCATGCACATGCACATGCACATGTATATACGAAAAAAAACTTGTTTCTTTAGCAAGAAGAACAGAAAAATATATTTATAAGGCTTGTACTTGTTATCTCGAGACGCAGATGACACTTTCAGAAGCAGAGAAGAATTATTGTTTGATGACGGAAATGTTGGTGAAAATAATTTTGATATTTGACAGGCTGATGTAAATAATAATAGATAATTTAGAAGCTGGTGAAAATAATTATTAGATAACTGACAAACTGGTGAAAAAAATATATGATGACTGATGAGCTAGTGAGAATAACTTTTGATTGACAGATTGGTGATAACATGTATCTAATAATTGGCACATTGTGAATTATAATTATTTACGATACAAATTCTCAGATATGTGCTGCATTCATCATCAACCTCCCAAAAGTAGATAGAAATGAGTGAGTGAGTGAGTGAGTGAGTGAGTGAGTGAGTGAGTGAGTGAGTGAGTGAGTGAGTGAGTGAGTGAGTGAGTGAGTGAGTGAGTGAGTGAGTGAGTGAACCCAACCGTGTTCCTCCCCTCCCCACCCCACCCACGAACTCCCCGATAACGCTCCGCTCTTTCCCCCGACGCCCGCAGCTCGCCCAGTTCCGCGCCCTCATCAGCCACGACGGCCGGCACCGCCTTCAGGACAACTTCAGGCCCGTCCAGCCCCTCAACGGAAGAGAGGTAAGTGGGGGCAGAGGAAGAATGTGATAAAGAGGAGATAGGAAGAATGTGATAAAGAGGAGATAGGAAGATGGTGGTGATAAAGGGGGCAGAGGGAGAGGGTGATAAAGGGGGCAGAGGAGAAAGAGGGTGATAAAGGGGGCAGAGGGAGAGGGTGATAAAGGGGGGCAGAGGAGGAGGGTGATAAAGGGGGCAGAGGAGGAGGGTGATAAAGGGGGGCAGAGGAGGAGGGTGATAAAGGGGGGCAGAGGAGGAGGGTGATAAAGGGGGGCAGAGGAGGAGGGTGATAAAGGGGGGCAGAGGAGGAGGGTGATAAAGGGGGGCAGAGGAGGAGGGTGATAAAGGGGGGCAGAGGAGGAGGGTGATAAAGGGGGGCAGAGGAGGAGGGTGATAAAGGGGGGCAGAGGAGGAGGGTGATAAAGGGGGCAGAGGAGGAGGGTGATAAAGGGGGAGGGGGTAGGAGGATACGTGGTTAGAGAGAGAATGTTGATAAAGGGAGAATAAGAAAGAGGTGGTTGTTAATACGGCCAAGACATGGGACGGAGGAAGAGGAAGAGGAAGAGAAGAGGAAGAGAATGTTAAGAAGAGAATAGCAAGATAGGTGATTATTACTTAGGAAAGTGATGATAAAGTAGGTGATGATAAAGAGGGATTGGGAAAATGAGTGATTGTTCTTTAGGCCAAAACTTGAAGTGGAGAAAGAAGAGGAGGTTGATAAAAGGGGGGAAGGGGGATGATAGATAGTGAATTTGATGACTAAAAATTATGAAAAAAAGATAGGAAGAGAGACATAAGACAGTGAATATGATACTAAAATAAGGCAGCAATGAGCGATAAGGAAATGAAGTAAGAAGATAGATTTAGGATAGTGAATTGCTGAGTAACTTGTACTGTTAATTATGTAATGTTGATAAAGATCATTAAATTCAGATAGATGATATACGTCGAAACTGGTTCCCATTTTATTTCGTTTATTTTTTGTTCATTTCAGGTGGCATTCGTAGATACGGAAAGTTACTAAGATGAAGAATAAAGAAGCTATCTGTCTATCCACTCTTGTACAATTACATTTACTACTTACTTTGCATCTTCATTGTTTTCTTACACAGCTGTTGTTACAGATATACTTTTATTGTTGTATGTATACATTTTTAGAATGAAATTAAAAATTATGCTTTGTTGAACGTGTTTTAGTTTTGGTTTACATTAATCCGAAATAAACAGACATATATTGAATTTTAGTTATTTAAAAGTAGGTGAGTAATAAAAATGATTGCTTAGTGGGTATTAATGCGTAATGAAAATCGTCAAAACTATTTAGCTAAGAGTATGTTCGGACATTGTCTTCTGGTGTAAGTTGGGTCGCTAATAAGCCTGAAATAACATAAAAATGGAATTCGTACAAATCTGTTAAAATGACACCCCGTAAATAAGTCTGCATATCTTTGCGGGCGAGTGTGTGCGTTTGCAGATTTCTTTGTTGTAAGCACATGTACATGAAGATGTATGCAGTTATGAGTGCGTGTACGTAGGGGTTTTATGGAGACGGCGATTGGTGTATCTATAATTTAAGACACATTTAAGGTATAAGTTTCACCTTTCAGTATTCACCGTCGCAGTTCACATAATTAGATCCTATTCCTAAAAACTCCAAAGGAACACAGGTGGACAACACAGATGTGCCCGGTAGTAGCCGATGGCCGATGGTAACATTGCTAAACCTGACGAGTGCAGTCCTTTTGTAATCTCAAGACCTCGTGCAATGCAATGCAAGCTTTACTGCAAATACGATGTGATCCGCAGTGAATAAGCCTATGTAAAAGCATTGGTTCTAAGGGTAACTCATGATATAACAGTTGTGGAAAATCAGGTCCCATACCCCTGGATACACCCAAGAACAACGATTGCTGTATTAGCAACTATCTAATTATAGAATCATTCTTTAGGAAGTCAGTATGATTAGACATTCGTGTCCTCTTTTTTTGAAATCTCGAAAAATATGAAAACTGAAATACTATCACAATGCAGAAATAACCCCAATATTACTGAAATGCGTAGTGTGGAAGTGACAACATAATTTGAAAAGTTCTAAGATTATTTCCCTTCCCAAATATCTGTTTTAACAAAACTTAAAAGAAGACAAAAAAACGTTCATTGACATTTTTACGTGAAATGTTAATCAATATATGGAAATGTGGAATTCGACCGACTTGGGCCGTACTTTTAAAACTTCATTCGGCGGCGGTCGAACGGCTCGAATCCTAAGTCAACTAAGTTCGACATTAACCGCTACTGCCGTGCGAGCCAAAGCATGAAATTATTGACCTTTTCAGCTGGGTATCACTTAAATTGCCAATTCATCATTTCTTAACGTAAAGCTATTCTTGTAATTTTGCTTTGACTTATCATAATCGTTCACCCGCACGCATGCCACATATACATATACTTTCTCTAATATATGCATGTATGCATATACACATACACAGTATTTTATGAACACTTATAACGTCCGCGTTTTCCCTCTAACCCTCTCTCCTGTTAATTTTACCATCTCTTTCCCTCTCATGGTCATTTTTATGATAACTAGTCTTATCATTTACATGTTCATTTGTAGAAATAATATCCCATTCTTTGTCATGTTTTATGTGAACATTGCATGAGTTGCATCATATATTAAATCAGAACCTCACAGTTTGCTCTAATTTTGTGCAGTAGTCAATATTTGCCAAAAGTCTGCTGTTTTACACAGTTCAGGGACAAGCATCATGTATTTTAACCCATTCCCGCCGGGCATGCCATGACATGGCCACTGTGAGATTACTTGTTAGATTGTTTTCACACATAGATGGCTACACTTGTACTAAATCACCAATGAGCCAGTTACGAGTACCGCCTGTCTCGCCCGTTCACCCTTTTCTTTGATTTACGAAATATTTTACCTTATCTTATTTTCCTGTTACTAATGTTAAAAAAACATTATAAAAATTATGTTTATGATAAAAATAACACCATCGATATTCATGGCACTAGTGAAAAATACGCTTTTCCCGCCATTTCAAAGCAGGCGCTAACAGAGCCATCTATGGGCAGACATTTAACAAGAAAGTATAGAAAATAGGCACAGTATTTTTCCCATTTTTTGTTCATTTTCCCCGGTGGCAATGGGTTAATTCTAGAATAGGACCACAAAGGAATTCCTTGTAAAAAAAAAAAAAAAAAAAATCTTATCTGCCATTAAGTTCCTCAGGTGATTTCCCAGGGTACAACTACGAAAATTAAAAATACCCAGACCTTCTCGACTGATTGCTTGCATCTTACAATAATGCCTTTCAGATACATTTATTGACAAACTCCTGAGATAATCCAAACACACACACACACACACGCACACACACATGCATATATATACATCCATATGTAGATGTGTGTGTGTGTGTACTCATAATCATATATATATATGATGTATATCTTGTGTGTGTGATGTGAATATATTATACGTATATATATGTGTATGTAATATGTATATATATATATATATATATATATATATATATATATATATATATAATGAGCGTGCATGTGTTCACACACACACACACACACACACACACACACACACACACACACACACACATATATGAAGGTTTAACAGTAAAGAAGAAAACTGTTGAACGCCTTCATGAGAGACCCCTGCATGCTGGCGCTCCATCGCCACTCGTCTAGACCGGCTTTATATTAATGGAAATTAAAGTACGAAAATGATTGACCGCAACGGGAATGACAACGCTGTCAATAATATAACGTCAATTCGGGGCGTCGGAACTCCGGGCATTCGAAGCTTGGTTGTTTGAAGTTCGGAACTGGTCGACCGCCATGGGAACGATAACCTATATCATGAGCTGGCAGTTCATAGCCTTCGTGTTTGTCTTTATTTGTTTTGAGTCTGTGATTGTTCCCTACAAAGAATACTCTCAATCGGAACGGTTTGTAGCGTTACGTTGCCGCTCAGATGTAAACATTGACTCACACGAGCTTTTTGTGTTTTAGATTTTTATGTTTTTAATGATGAGTTTTCATGATTTAGTATTTATGAAAGTCTTATATTTACCACTAAAGATCATGTTTTTTAATTATTAGTCCAGCACCGCGAATTAAGAATCATGCTCTCGTGTTTCTTCACATTTAAAATCCTATCTTTCGCTTAATATGTTATATAATACAAGGAAAGACATGCCCATTAGCATTCCATTGACCATATATCTGTGTCTGTAAATAATGTACGAAACGTCTGCTATGGACCGTAGCATTTGTGCGTCATACACAGACTACATGGATAAGGATGAGCCATATATGCGAAGCTGATCCTAACTCAGGCTATGCCTATGAAGAGAGCCCGGCCGATGCCCACTAATGCTCACTATAGGAGCTGACTCGACTGAAGAATACATGTATCACGTTACAAGCCGTGCCGTTCAAACTGTGCCCTTCGTTGTGCTACGAAGTGCTAACTTGCTTGCTTGCTTGCTGGATATCTTGGCTATCGACTAGCGGTGTATAGCCATGTTAACACAGCCAGC